CCATCCATCCATCCATCCATCCATCCATCCATCCATCCATCCATCCATCATCCACCCATCCATCCATCCATCCATCCATCCATCCATCATCCGCCCATCCATCCATTCATCATCTGCTCATTCATCCATCCATCCATCCATCCGTCCTTCCATGCATCTGTCCACCAATCCATCCATCCGTCCATCCATCCATTCATCATCTGCCCGTCCATCCATCCATTATCCGTCCATCCATTCATCATCCATCCATCCATCATCCATCCATTCATCATCTGCCAATCCATCCATCCGTCCGTCCATTTATCTATCCATCATCCGCCCATCCATCCATCATCCAACCTTCCCTTCGTCCCTTCATCCATCCATCATCTGCTCATCCATCCATCCATCATCCAACCTTCCCTTCGTCCATCCATCCATCCATCCATCATCTGCTCATCCATCCATCCATCCATCCATCCATCCATCCATCCATCCATCCATCCATCCATCCATCCATCCATCCGAGGAATAAATTCCCTGTTCTGGTGTGTCTGCTTATCTACTGGAAGTCAGGATCACATTACATGTAGCTGGGTGTGTGTGTGTGTGTGGGTGGGGGCTGTGATGGGGTGGGGTGGGTCTGGTCTGTGTGGGTGTGGGCTTCGGGTTCAGGTCCCCTGACGCTCCTGGGCCCCTGAGAAACTCCAAACAGTGTTCTTGTAGACTCCCCCTCCTGACGTCGTGTCTGCAGTCCTCCCCTCAGCTCCTCTGTCTGCACACTGAACCGGACCGGACCGAACCGAACCGCTGGGAGACTGACGGCTCTGCTCGGCCCCCGGCTCTTCGTGTCCTGCTTGATTTGAAACTTTCTCTCCAGTCAGGAAGGACCTGGGTGGGAGGTCGCTGCTGCTCGGAGCTTTTTTTCTGAATCCAAAGTTTTCTCTTCTCGCCTAAAGTGAAAGCGCCGGACCAAACGGACTCCTCCGAACTTTCTTCGGTTCCGCATCGCAGTGGACATGGTTTGGGTCAGATGGGGCCTCCTGCTCTCCTTCGGCTTGTTTCTCTCGCCTGTCTGTAACTCGGCGGAGCGACAGCAGAGTCGGAGCGGCTTCAGGAGGCTGTATGTGCTGCAGCCCGCTCCCGGGCCGGGACCGGGACAGCGGCCCGGTTCGGCTGCTGGGGAAGGCGCAGTGCGCCTCAGCTCCATCTCTACGCGCCACGGCCCGTTTGGAGACAACTTGGCATACAACGTTGAAGTCACAGGAAAGTTCGGCGGCCAGGTTCGCAACCGCAGGATGGGGAACCCAGCGGCTGCAGCCCCTCAGCAGCAGGACCAGAACCAGAACCAGCTCATGAAGCTGTCCGGGTAAGAAGAGCTCCAGAACTTCCCTGGAACATTTTACCATCCAATAAAAAGCATGAAACGGTTCCCATGAAGTTGGGTTCCCACTGAAGCAGAGCAGGGAGGAAGTCCAAAACCCCAGAACCCTGTTAATATGCGGAAAGCTGTTTGAGTTAGAGAAGCTGAGAGAAGGAGCCTAATAAACACCTTCAGGGTCACCAGGTCAGATATCCTTCTGCTCAGAGCATCACACTGATTTGCAGGTGATGAAGATTCTCAGTCATCCAACTTATAGACATTCCAAAAAAGTAAAAAAAAAAATAATCCACTGGAATTTGTTTCCATATGATGGAGTATTAGGGTCAGGATAGAGATTTTTTTATTTTTTATTTTGGGAATAAAGTCATAAAATTAAGTGAAAAAGGTTGTAATATTACGAGAATAAAGTCTTAATATGAGAATAAAGTCGTGTTATTACGAGAATAAAGTTATCTTGCCAGAATAAAGTCATACCATTATGGAAATAAAGTTGTTATATTACGGGAATGAAATTGTAATGACAAAGTTTAA